CACACTCAGTTGAACTGAACCATCAATGGTCAGGGGCCCTGGTCCTGCCGGAGTACCCAGCTCAGTTTGGGCATGGAGTCTGTGGGGCAAGGGCTTGACCCATTTGCCCCTGTGAGCTGCACATATTAGAACGAGAAGAGCAGGACAAGGCTCTAGAGGGGCAGGCTGGAGAGCCAGGAACATGTGTCCCAGCCAGTACCACAGTTTCGGCTTCACCTGGCCCTGACTTCATCCTCGGCAGGCCCAATTCAATCCCAGAATGGAGGTTGCAAAGGCAGGTTCATTCATTATCGGCAGCTATTGATTTGACTGGGTCCTTGGAAAGCACTTAGTCTTCCCCCTCACCCCCCAAATGTAATGAGAAAAGTCTTGTGGGCCTTAGTCATCAAAGACGGAATACCCCCAGGGAGCCAGGCCCCACACTACAGGCCTCACTTGAGCTACCCCAGCCCACCCTCCATCAGGATTGCTGTGGTTAGTTGCTGTTGAGTTGGCCAAGTCATGGCAACCCACGCACAATGAATTATATTGTGCCATCCCCATGATCAGGGCTGATTAGATCATATGCTCCATTTTCATTGGCTGATGTTCAATAGATTGCCAGGCCTTTCTTCCTAGTTCCTCAGTCTGAAAGTTCTTCAGCATCAACACAACACGCAAACCTCCACTGACACACAAGTGATGGCTGTGCCTGTGGAACCCTGGCCAGCAATCAAATCCAAGTCTCCTGAATCAAAGGCAAAGCTTCCATCGCTGATCTTATACTACGTCTCTGTAGTCCTACTTTGTTGGTAGGTTGTTTGGTTCTAGCTCATAGCAACCGTATGTACAACTGAATGAAGCACTGCCCAGTCCTGTGCCATCCTCACAATTGTTTTCAAGTTTGTCATTATTGCAGCCACTTTGTCAGTCTCTCTCATTGAGGGGTTCCCTCTCTTTCGCTGGCCTTCTATTTTACCAAGTAGGATGCCCTTCTCCTGGAACTGGTCCCTCTTGGTAACATGTCCAAAGTACATGAGATGATGTCTCACCATCCTGGCTTCTAAGACATTCTGACTGTACTTCTTTCAAGACAGATTTGTTTGTTCTTCTGGCAGTTCCTGGTACTTTCAATATTTTTTGCTAATACCATAATTCGAATGCATCAATTCTTCTTTGGTCTTCCGTAATCATTGTCCAGCTTTCACGTGCACGTGAGGTGACTGAAAATGCCATGGCTTGGGTCAGGTGCATCTTACTCAAGGTGATACCTTTGCTTTTTAATACTTTTAAAGAGAGCTTGTACAGCAGATTTTCCAAGAGCAGTTTGTCATCTGATTTCCTGACTGCTGCTTTCACGGATGCTGATTGGAGAGCCAAGTAAAACGGAATCCATGGCAACTTCAATTGTTTCTCCATTGATCATGATATTGCCTATTAGTCCAGTTGTGAGAATTTTTGTTTTCTTTACACTGAGGTATATAATCCATATTAAACCCTGGAGTCTTTGATCTTCTTCAGTAAGTGCTTCAAGTCCTCTTCACTTTCACAGCAAGGTTGTATCATTTGCACATTTCAGGCTGTTAATGACTCTTTCTCCAATCCTGATGCCACCATCTTTTTTATATGTCCAGCTTATTGGATTATTTGCTCAGCATAAAGATTGAATAAATATGGTGAAAGGACACAACCCTGACACACACCTTTACTGATTTTAAACCACTCAATAGCCCCTGGTTCAGTTCAAAGGACTGCCTTGGGGTCTATGTACAGGTTCCTCATGAGTACAATGAAATATTCTAGAATCCCCGTTCTATGCAATGTTACCCATAATTAGTTATGATACACACAAATTCCTTTGCATAGCCAATAAAACGTAGGTAAATGACTTTCTGGTATTCTCTGCTTTCAGACAATATCCATCTAATGTCAGCTATTATATCCTTCATTCCATATCCTCTTCTGGATCCACCTTTAATTCCTGGCATCTCCCAGCCATTGGAGCTGCAGATGTTCTGTTTCTCTTCAGCTAGTGTGAGACCTGGAGTCCTGGTGTAGCGTTGTGGATTACTGTGCTGGACTGCAACGTCAGTTTGAACCACAAGGTCAGTGGTTCAAGCTCACCAGCTGCTCCTTGGAAACCCTTTACAGGGTTGCTGTGAGTCGGAACTGACTCACAGGTACTTGACAACAAGAAGAGTGGTGCAAGGTCAGCTTGAACCACAAGGTTGGCGGTTCAAACTCACCCTCTACACGGTCACTTTGGGTCAGAACCGACTCAACGGCACTTAACAACAAGTTCTACTTAAAGTTACCCGGGTAGCAAAATGGGTTACCAGTTGGTCTGCTTAACTGCAAGGTCAGCCATTTGAATTTACCAGCTGTTCCCTGGGAGAAAAATGAGGCTTTCTGCTCCTGTAAAGATTTATAGCCTCAGGAGCCATATACAGGGTCACTAAGAGTCAGAACTGACTTCAAAGCACCCAACAACCACCACCGGTCTTACTTAAGGAGTACTGATGTGGCTCTGTAGAATAAGCACTGGACTACTAACCACAAGGTTAGCAGTTCAAACTCACCAGGTGCTCTTCAGAAATCCTATACAGGGTCACAAGTGTCAGAACCAATTCAACAACACACAATAACAATAACAACCATCGTTCTACTTAGAGATGTAGAAACTGAGGCTTGGGGGAGTTGTGACATTCATCCAATGTCCCACAGCCTGAAAGCGGTATACGTTCCTCATTCTCTGGGTTGCTGGGAGGGTAAGACCAAATCTTGGGCTTCCAGGCATGAGTTCGCTACATGTCTGGGTGTGGAAGGCGCAGTTGCCAGGTTGTACCAGAGGCCGGATATCTGAATATCTAGAACAATTGTCTGATTTGGTCCAAAATATCCCTATGTTCCTAAGGTCCCAACAGGAAGCCTGGCAGGGGAGGAGTCCTACTTGGCCAGATGAGCACAGCCAAAGAGCAGAAACCTTGGCCTTTCAAAACAAAATAGCCCCCAAGTACTCATTGTTAACTCTACCCAACCACCCCAGATGTAAATAGCAATCCTTGAAAAGGCCACTAGGTGGGGCCAGTGGTGCAGCAGAAAAAGCAGAAATGCCAGTCCAGGAGGGAAGGTGGAGCAGGCAGAGGGAGGAATGGGGCTGGAATCTTTGCTAGGATCTGGAACTGAACAAATGCTCCCCACCCCCAGTTCCTGCGTAGCTGCTAGCCAACAGTGTAAACGTGATTCCTGGAGTCCCCAAGCACTCTAAGAGTCTGCTTTTGTCTTTAAGAGGTTAAGTTATTCAGTAACATCTCTCCACACTGCCCTAAAGGTTCAGAGCTCCCGGCCAAGGTATGCTTCCATTGTGCCAGCAGCCTGGTTCACTGGAGGAAGCTCGGGACAGTGCCTTTCACCAGGAAATCTAAAATCCACGGACAGGTGCTACAGCAAGGTGGCCATGCAATAAGGAATGCCTGCCCTGAAGGAAATGGGACAGGAGGCAAGGAGGAAGTCAGAGCAAGGAGGACATGGCCAAGACCTCTCTAGCAACTAAGTCACTGCAATCAGCCGCAGGCCTTCAACTCTCAGCCAGCTTTCCTGGCCCTTCACAAATCTTTCCATACCTACTCACACTGAGGTCCAGGTGAGTACCCCAGAGGCCTTCGAGCTCTGTGACAGTCTAAGAGGGAAATAAGAGTTTCCTTTCTTGCTTTCCCCTAGTTGCTTCAGCTCAGGTTCCAGAACACCTTTTCCATCAGCCTTGTGTTTCCAAGATGGCTGTCTCTAACCCCTCACCAATCTCAGCATGACATGAGCAACCTCCAAATGCTGGCAGTGGGGGGTCTGAACCTGACTGACACCCTGGTCCATCCCTCTACCTCCTTCCCCTCAATATCCCTTTCCAAACTTGCACTGCCTGGCATTCGCTCTGCCTTGGCCTCTGTTGCCATGGCAACACTATGGCTTCCCCCAAGTGGGAAGCGGGTTGCCAAGGCCCTTGTTGCCAAAGACTATAACAGCCATCATCCGCCACCCTGGTGTGTGAAGAGGGGGTGAAAGCTAAGCTCTGGAAGGGGTGGAGGTTGGCCAAGGAGGCTGGGGAGGAAAGGAAGCAGGGAGTTTCTTAAGAAATGGTAGGGGCCAGGCAGGCTCCCAGCTGGGAATAGGGAAACCACCTCACTGCATCTCAGCAACAGCTCCTCTGGGGGTCTTGACCCTCAGAACAAGGACTCCCAGAAAGCATACCTTGGGCAAGCCCTCTATTACCAAGCAGGTCTGAGCATTCTAAGCTTCCCTGCTCCAATACAAATCCCCCACAAGCAAGGAGGAACAGCCCCTAGGACTCTCTCAGTCTTGTTTGCTCAGACATGCACGCATATCCAAGCTGGGCCCAGACAGAGCCAGGCCCCACCGTTAGGAAGCAGCAGTAATTAGAGGGGTTGTAAACCCTATCTCTTGGCCTGTTAAGAGCACAGACTTAGTAGTCTGTATCAGATGCTTCTCTGTCAACAAGCAGAGAGGTGGGCACTGTCAAGAATCATCAGAGTGGGGCTGAACGGGACCCTCAGTCCTCAGGGATGTGACAGTTACTCTTTCCACCGCAGCCTAGGTGCCCCAGGGGCCAGCACTAGAGAGTAACGCTAGTCCACAGACCCCAGGTACAGCCAGGGCCCAGCCTGTCCCTCCTGAGTCCCCTGCATCTTGCTGGGGAGAGGTACTGAAAGGAAAGGTGAGCGTAGCTTAGGGTGTCTGGGAGAGCAGACAGGTGGAGGGGAGGGAGACATGAAGCAGGGGTGACTGAGTAAGCTGCAGAAAGGGGAGAGGGGAGCCTGAGCCCCCTGTCATTGAGGAGCCCAGGACTGAGAAGACACTGAGGACCCAAAAGCAAGCGAGGTCAAAATCTCCCCAGGCACTTTCCCCCCATAGCTCCCCAAACGGAGACTGGCCCCCAACACCTGTCATCATACGCCCCACGGAGCTCCCTTCACCCCAAGTCCAGAAGGCAAAACAGATGTACCTACCCCAGGTGCCAGCCCCTCAGGTGGGGTGGGGGAGATCCTGTCCCCGCTGCTCTGGCTTCGGGCGCTGAGCTGGGGCGACATGGTGGGCGACTCATCGATGTACGGCATGGTCTCTGAGCCCTCTGGGGGCCCCTTCTGCTCCTCATTCCCTTCTCCGTCGTAGTCATCTGCTCCGTAGCTGAAGTCTGAGACAAGGAACAAGAAAGGCCACTGAGAATCCTCCACAAGGGCTGCCAGGGACTGGTAGCGCAGTGGGCGCCGCCGGCGGCCCCCGGCTGCCATGATCCTGGCTGCACCATCCACGGCCCAGGCAGAGGCTACAAGAGGGCTCAGGCCTCGGCCAGAGCTGGCGAGCGCCTGCAGACACCCGGCTCTGCACGTTCAGAGGCTGCTGGGAGTCGGGGAGGAGCACACTGCTGTTGCCACCCGCTTAATAGCATGTCAGTCGCGTCTTCCGAGCTGCTGTTTCCTTTGCGTCCTGCCTAATTCCAAATCTAGAAATTAACAGTGAGAGCAGGAGGCAGGACGCTTCCAACTCCCCTTTCTGAGTCACATTTTGCTTTTTATAGGGAATAAGGAGGTGGGGGCGGGCCAAACGATGTCACTTCCCAAGCTCCTCCTCCTTGGGTACCATTTGTACATAGAGCCCAAGTCCCTGCTGGGGGCCTAGAGCAGGTTTGGGGGTGGGGGTTGTGAGACTGCACCCAAGGGAGCCCTGAGCCCTCCAAAGGAGGCCCTGTGCGGGACAGCGGAATGCGAGGCTGGCTGAGCGTGGGTGGGGAGGCTGGCCGAGGCCTGGCAGTGATGTCGTGGAACAGCAGAATCCTCTGAAGCCGGCATTTACTTCTATAATTTCACTGTAGGCTTCCTTCACAGAAGGAGGGAAGAGAAGGCAATAGGGAAGTCGAATTGCTGTTAACCCCCTCCGGCTTCCAGCAAAGCGCAGCCTTCAGAACCCACGCACAAATACCCTTTCCTGAGGGCAGAAGGCTGGGTTCCTGGCGTGGAGGTGCACAGAAAGCACCTCGTCATTGAAAGACCCTGCATCAGGACCCCAGGAGGGGGTTTCTCACACAGCAGCATAAGGGAGCCTCCCACTCCTTGCGGAGTCCATGGCCTGTTGACCTCTGCCGACCTAGACCTGCCAGGACCAGGAACGAAGGCAGGGGCAGTGCAGTTTGGGATCTACATACAGTCTTGGATCTCCTGGGGTTGGGACCACCCACTGCCTGGGGGGTGGAGACTCCTCTCATGCCCCATCATTCTTGAGCTGGGGGTCTAAGCTACAACTTGGTACCACATAAGGAGCACAGTGGGATCACAAGACCAACCTGTGCGGGCAGCAGTGTTCTTGTACCCCCGGCACTGCCAAGCAGTAAAGTCCATTTGTAAAATCTCCAGAGGATCTTCTGGGCAGCAGGCCCTGGGCTGGGCTTCTTGGGAATTTGCCCAGTACAATGGAGGAGGATGCCTGGGTCCAGTCCAAACTGTCCTATCGTCTGCCCTGACACCACTTCCTCCGGATTGTCCTCCCTAAGCCTGGGTGAAGTCAGGCACTCCAGCTCAGATCTACAGCCTACTACTACAATGGCCTCCTGGAGCACTTGCTGAGCCGTTCCTTCATTCCTGAGTCCCTAAGGCAGGAACAGGGTGTCTCAGTTGTCACTGTGTGCCCAGCACCCACGGGCCCCACCTGCTCTTCTGAAACATGTACAGTGACTTGAGCAAGTGGAAGAATGCAAACTCAGGGTCACGCCTGAGACAAGCTAGGTTCTGGAGAGCCAATTCTCCACAAGGACCTGGCTCTTCCTCCACTATACACACCAGCCCCCGGGGAAGCCGGCAGCTTGAGAATGGTGTTAGCAGGTCACCAGAGTGCCTCGGCCATGGCCAGCTCAGACCAATCTGGCTCTTTGGAAGCCAAGAGCCTCCCCTAGCATCACGGCACCTGCTTCTGCTGATTTCCCCTCCTAGGCCCTGCGCAAACATCCCATCAAGCTGTCAGGGAATGAGGGTGATTATTCCCTTTGAAACAGGCATGCATGGAAGAGCCATGGAATCAGGAACCTCCTAGCCATTGGGATGTATGCGTGTTCCTGTCCTGGAGGCCACTAGGCCTGCTAATGGAGTAGGGGGCTGTACCACCTCTGGTATACAGGAGGAAGAGCAGCAGCAGCACCTGACCCACCGGCCAAGTCTGGCACCATGAGGGGCCCACCGGCTTGGCCCCCTACTCACTTGGGAAGCAGTCTGGATGGTGCAAACAATTTGCACTTGGATGTTAACCGGAGGTTGACAGTTCGAACCTAGCTTGAACCCACCCGGTGGTGTCACAGAAGAAATGCCTGGCAATCTGCTCCCATAAAGATTACAGCCAAGGAAAGCCCACAGAGTTCAGTTCTGTTCTAACACACGGGGTTGTCATGAGTCAGAACTGACTCAACAGCAACAGGTTTGGTTTTACTCACTTGAGAGAAGCCTAAGGAGGGAATTGAGACATCACATGAACCTGCCAGCTGCCCACATCCCCTCACCCTCACCCCAGGCAGCTCCAGGCTACCCTATTACCACCTGGGCTTAAGACCCAGGAAGAAGCTATGGTAGACTTTGGCCTGGCCATCAGTTCAGATTCCAGCAGGTCACACTGAACGGCTCATCTGCTAACCGAGCCCCAGAATCACAGATTCAGAAGCTTCCCTCTAGAGACATTCCCCAGGACAGGAATACAAGCAATAACAGGAATGGTGGCATGGCTCACCTCCTCGAACAGCCTGGTACAGCCAGGAACTCACAGGGCAGTCAGTCTCCTCCATACTTCCTCTGTACCCAAGAACAGATTATGAACCTGCACCTCCTGCTCCACTTAATGTAACTACATCCCTGTGAGGCAATGCTTAGTATCCCCATTTTACAGACCAGGTCACTGAGTCACGGCAAGAAAGGATCTGAACCCAGTTCTGTGTGTCTCTGTCTCCAAATGCCTTGCTTTTCCCTCTCAGTCTCCCCAGTCCCCCAGAGAAATCTCCTTCTATGGTCCTCCTGGTCAGTGGAGGCTGACCAAAGTGGGGTGACAGGAGCTGGCAACGGGAGGAGAGACCCAGTCCCAAGGAGTTCTTCCACCTCAGTAGGAGAGCGGCCACAAAGCTGCCTAGAAATGTCCCCAGGTACTGGGTGGGCACTCACCCTTCACTTATGCCCCTATGACACCATGGAAGTCAAGGAAGCCAGTCAGAAGCCATTCAAGGAAAAGGGATCTAGGGCAAGATGACGACAGACCAGCCCCCAAAAAACAAGGAACCTGGGGATTCAGGATGGGCAACCTATCAAGAACAGCCTTCAGTCCACAAAAGATAACATACAGAAAGGTCAGGTGGACTGCGGCTTGGCCACAGAGAATGCATAGGAGGCCATCGGCAGCTGATGTCCATTTCCCTACGTAGTCACAGAAAGCCCATTCTATGTGCAGTGGCAATATATCCAGCTAAAAGATTACTTTTCCCAGGACTATGGTGTGGGCCATGTAATGACGTTCTGGTCAATGAGATGCTAAGTGGATATGTGTGGACCTACATGGACAGCTGTTACAAAGACTAAGTTAGCTGGAAGGTACACTTTTTTCTCCCCTCCCTCCTCATATTTCCTCTTCTATTGCCAATTTGCAAAGCAAATAAGATGGCTGGAGCTTCAGCAACAGTATTGAACCATGAGATGACCTTGAGAATGAAAGCCAGGACTGAAGATGGCAGAGCAAAAAGCTAGGGCCCTGGGACTCTGTTGGAACGATGGAATCACCATACTGTCCCGGGTCTGTCTACCTCTAGAGTTGTTTTACATGTTGTTGCTGTTGTTGTTATGTGTCGTGGAGTCAGTTCCAACCCATAGCGACCCTGTACAGGGTTTCCGAGGCTGTAAATCTTTATAGGAGCCGAAAGGCTCATCTTTCTCCCATGGAACAGCTGGTAGTGTCGAACTGCTGACCTTGTGGTTTGCAGCCCAATTCATAACCACTACGCTACAAAAGTAGATTATTTTATCTACAATTATTTAGTTTTTATGTTATACAGTCAAACCTAATAACTGGTGTAGGTGACTTCCCTAACATCTGTCTGGGTAAATTTTCTACTGCCCTGATTCTCAGTTTCCTTGAAGGGATTCTTCTTCTGCTCACCTCTTAAAATTCCTGCTGTAGCACTGTGGGTTAATGCGCTAGACTGCAAAGTCGATGTGAACCACAAGGTCGGCAGTTCAAGCTCACCAGTTGCTCCTCGGACACCCTATACAGGGTTGCTATGGGTCAGAACCGACACAATGGCACTTAACAACACCAGCAACAACGCCTGTCTCCACAATCCTGAAACTAGAAGAATTAGATGATGCCAGGCTACCACTACAATTGAAAGGGATCACATTAGGAGATCCTGGAAGGAGTGGAAGAAAAATGTGGAACAAAACTCAAAATTGTAAAAAAGACTAAGCTTACTGGTCAAATAGAGGCTGGTGGAACCCCTGTGACTCTATGACCGTTAGTTACCTTTCAGATCTGGTACTGAACTCACCCCCATGCCTCAATATTCAGCCAAACAACAGAGAGGTCAATAAGGGGACCAAGGAACGCTAGTGAGGAAAGCATATCTTAAGATAATCAACCATTTGATATTAAAACAGCAGTATTTACCCAAGAACCAAGTTAAGAAGGGTTAGGGCAGAAGTATGAGTATTCTGGAACACTTAATTGTGCTCATGAAGAATCTGTACCTGGATCAAGAAGCAGTTGTTCAAACAGAACATGGGAACACTGCATGGTTTAAAATTAAGAAAGGTGTGCAACAAGCTTGTATTCTTTCACCGTACTTATTCAACCTGTATGCTGAGCAAATAATCCGAGAAGCTGGGTTATATGAAGAAAAACATGGCATCAGGATTGGAGGAAGACTCATTAACA